AGAGCAGATTAAATTCCAGGAGTCTCCACTGGGGGGCGCAGTCACGAAGAATATTTAGCACTTGTGATGGAGAAGAAAGCTATGAGGAGCTCAGCCTGTTTACACGGCACAAATCTTGGAGGAATAAACATCGCAGGAGAGGATCAGAGAATGTAAAAACGGCTTTGCTGAGTCAGAACAGGGGTCCAGCTAGCCCAGTATTCTGATCTGGACAGTGGGCAGCCAACCACTCTGGGAGTTCCCACAGGGGGACACAAAAGCGGCAGCGAGTCTGGGGTGGAAATGGGTTTTCAGGGGCAGGGCCAAAGGTTCCCTAGGTGAAAACAACCCAAAATGGGCAATACTTCCCTTTTATTGCCACTCCAACACACAGCCCCAATTCCCTTCTATTTTTGTGATTGTTCTGCTTTCCCATACTTATTTATTTTTGTTTGCATTTAAAGTATCTGTTGGATGCTGTTCGAGGCAGAAGCACTTCCCCTTCCCTGCATGGCTCCTGGCTTTCCAGGCATCACCAAGACAATCAGCTTTGGCGACACAGTGACATCGCAGAGGGCTTTCATGTTGACCTCACTGCAGATGGGTGCAAGTGGTCCCCGGGGATCAAGAAACCCCGCAAAACCCATACAGAGCATCCTCAGCCCCACTGCCTGGGCACTTCGAAATCATTCCTTCCCCCTTAAGTCCCTTCCCAGAGTGGGCCGCCCCACACTCCGGTGGACACTTCTGTCCCCCTTTCACAGCCACTCTTGAAAAATCGCTGAAAGGTTTCTGTGGGTCCTGAAGGCTCCAGGGACCTCATCAGCCCAGCCCTAAAAGTGGCAGGCATTTCTCACTCAGTATGAAAACCCAAGATCCACTGTCCCTGAGCATGGGGTACATAACTCACAGCCATTGGTTCCTCTTCCCCAGAAAGCCGGACTGAAATTTCTCGGAATATTTTGGCAAACGGTCCCCACCCTCGCTCACACACATGTTCCCCACCTGCAAACGAAGTGGCACGTTTGAGCAAACGGACCATCTTCACTCAGCCTCTGCCCTGCAGGCAGCACTTCATCCTTTCCCTGAACAGAAGGCAGGCATTTCAAGCTGCCTAGTGGCCCTTCCTCTTCCCGTGGATATGTAATTCCCTGAGGGGACGATCCTATGCATGCTTGGGCAGAAAAAGTCCCACAGCTCACAACCCGCTAGAAACTGTGGGACTTTTTGTCTAAGCATACATAGGGTTGAACCCTCAGGAAATGAGGTGGAAACTCACCAAACCACCCCCCCACAGGAATTTCTGGGCTCAGAGAGACCCCAGGTGTAGCACTGCTCTGCGACATGTGTCTCCTTTCCCCTTTCCTCTGCAGGAAAGCTTATCTCATGCTAGCTTTTCAACAACCCAGTGAATTAGATAAGACTGAGAGGTAGATAACTCAGCCAAGACCATCCAGGGACAGAGTTTCCTGAGAAAGGGGATTTGAACCCAAGACCCCTCCAGTCTAAGTCCAGCACTCTGTTTGGCTCACATCTGGTTTCATAGGAATAAGAAGGGCAAAGGGACTGGAGTATTGGCTGAATCCAATGGTCCCTGATTGGCTAGAACCACCAGTGGTTCCTGATGGGCTAGGACCACCAGTGGTTCCTGATGGGCTAGGACCACTAGTTCTTGGAGACTGTTGCATAGATATTTCTATGAGAGAAGGATCCATAATTTTCTGTCTCTCTGGTCTCAGGCATAAGGTGTGCAGTTATATAAAAGTGGGCGGGGTTGTGATTTGAGATGGAGAAATTTGTTTCGATCCATTTATTTTTTCATAATTTACCCAGCTTGCACCTCCTGAACAGATCACATAATTGAACACTATCTGCCATTAAAGCCTGCACATTTCTGAGCTTGCAAAGAAATTTGCAATCCCAAATAAATCTATTGCACAGTATACGCAGATTTGACAAATGTGCCCCCTTCTGAAAAAAACATACTTTTGAGAAATGACTGGAAACATGCTTTAATCAAAAGGAGTAGAACGCATGTAATACAAAGATACACACAGCATGTGAAAATGCACAAAATAGTCCTGCAAAAAGGAAAAAGCAAGGAGTACACTCTGATGCAGGCATGAATTAGAGCGAGCGTCCAGACAGGATTTGGAGAGTTGTACCAAGGCTGACTCTGCTTCTGCTCACCCCCCTGCTTGCAACGCCTTTAGGTCTTGACAGGAGCAGACATCAGGCAAGCGCAGTCTGCCAGTCAGGGACCGGGCTCTGCCCAGGCATGTCTTTTGCAACGCTGAGAAAGAGCGAGACCGTTCTCCTCCTCCTCCTGTCATCGCTCCATTTGGGGGTGCAGCTTGTGCAGCCATCCAGGAAAGGTTCTCAAGCACTGGAATGCCTGTCCCCGAGGCTGGCAGCAAAACCATTTGCCTGTGGCTCGGACCGCGACTCCCCAAGTCCTCTTTGCCCAATGTGGAGGTTAGCACACCTGCTGCCAGCCCCAGGGGAGTCGCCTTGCCCAGTCCCTGAGCCTCAGAACAGGGAGATGCAGCCTTCCTCTCACCACCCATCCTTGGCCTGCTTCTTGCAAGCCTTGGCTTCCCCGCCCAGCACTGGAGGAGAACTTGGCTTCTTCCACATGCAGCCTGGAGCCCAGCCATCTTCCGCAACCTTGCTGCCTCCTGCAGGATCCATGGAGCACCTCAGGCTTGGCCCCCGGCTTTGCCATCCCAGCCTGGGCGGAGACAGATCTGTGATGGCTGTTCCGGCAGCTGTGGGTACTCAGGGCAATTTATGAAGCCACAGGAGGGATCACAAGTTGTTCCCAGATGGGATCCCAGACACAAGCTTTGCTTGGAAGAAGGGGAATCTATCCCATGCGGGAAAGAACCAGCCTCGATTCTACTGAAGAGTGAGACCGTTGCATCTCATAACGGTCGTCTCCTGGCCAACAAGGGACGGCCCATGGATGCTGCGGTTCTTCAGCTGGTTCCCCTTGGCTGCGGTGACACAGCTGCTCACAAAATGCCCCTTGCAGCCCCTCCTTCCCTTCCTCCAGGCCCAAGGCAACCTGTTCACACAGGGATGCAATTTTACCAGGAATAATAGACAAATCAACTAAAACTTTAGTTAACTGAGAGGAGCCAGTTTTAATCAGCGGAATAAAATATTAATTAGCAGAGTGAGGCATTAGAGGCGCATGCCTCCACCTTGGTTCAGCGTGTTTTTGCAGCAGCAAATGAAAGAAAGAAACAATGCTGATGTCGTTTGGACAATAATTATCCTTTTTGCTTATTGCATTGAAAGCAACCTCATTTCATAACTCAGACAGGTTTGGCAGTAAGCGGTTTAAAGACTTACGATACTGAATTCAGCACTTTTCTGCCCTCAGACCTGGGAATCCAAGATATCCTGTCGCCCCTCAGATGCTCTGTAGGGTCACAGAGCACCTTAAAAAGCATTGCCACTCTCCAAGCCACAGGAGACAGAATTGAACCCTCTGACGATTTTTAGCTCAGCTTATTTCACATCGAAAGCTGTCTCTAAATTGCTGTTATCCAAGATGGTCCATTTTAAGCACAGGGCAAGTGGGCCCCAGCCCAAGCGCTGATTTCTGAACACTACCAGTGTTTCCGATCCCATATCTGTGTTCACAAATATCCTCTAGCATTAATAATAGCATTATTTTGCTAGTATTATGCCTGGAAATTGGCCTCCTTTGTCCCACGTAAACTGCAGAAAGCCTTCAGGCAAACGAGGGCTTAGGTCCCATTGGAAAAGAGGCCCCTGTCGGAAGCCCTGCCACTGCGGAAGCAGTAGGCAGTCCTGAAATAGGTTGCCAAAGTTGATGCGAGAACTCAGTTGACCTACGTTCCTGCGGCTGCAGCTCTGTGGGACCCCTCTTGTTCCCGGCGAGCGACCATTTCCATATATGCCGCAGTCGGCATGCAAGCGCAAGGGTGCTGGCCAGGGGAAGCTCTTCTTTGAGGAAAGGGAGACGATCGCCGGCGATGCTTTTGAGTGGTTTTAACTGGGAACTGCCGCCTGGATATGCTGCGTTCTCTTCCGTTGTGTCGTGGATTCCTCCTGGGCATCCGTCTGGTCCTCTTGATCTGTACATGTACCTTTTTCTTTTACATTTTGATTTGAGAGGTTCTCCTGGCACCAACGTTATATTCTTTTTGGTGTCATGCAAAACCCTTTTTATTTTCCCATTATTTTAATGTTTAATTGATTTTAATTGGGGTTTTAGTATACCATGGTCAGATGCTGTGAGGCTGTTCTGTTTATTTATTGTTAGCCGTCCCAAGAAATTCTGTAGGCGACGGGATAGAAAAGCGTTTCATAAATAATGAAATAAAGAAATAAAATTTTCTTGGGTGGCTATTGCAATCCAAGAAAAGTCTCTCTTAAATCCTTACACTTTGGGTTACTTACCCAGAAGGTCTGAATGACCTTTTTATTTTCCCGTCATTCTAAGAATTAGAAATTTTAATTGGTTTTAACAGCCACAGTCAGTTTTTGTTTTTTATTTTTGTTTTGCTTTGCTTTTTATTTTTGGTTTTGCTTCTGTTGTTGATTTGGATTTGGATTTTTAAAGACATGTTTTTGCTGTTGATGGTGGTCATTTGCTGTTATTAACTGTTATAATTCTTGCTATTTGTTGTTGTTTTAATTGTTGTAGTATTGTAAGCTGTCCTGGGACATTTTTCTCGTGTAGACAGGATATAAATGTGATAAGAAAGAAAGAAAGAAAGAAAGAAAGAAAGAAAGAAAGAAAGAAAGACAGAAAGATGAGTTTCATAAGGCTGGGCTACCAGTCGTCGGAGCTGTGGGCTAAAAAGCTAAATTCGTCAGGCTAAAAGCTAAACTTGCAGCCCATTGCTTTGCAGGCTGGTCGAGATGCACCCTTCCAGATGGGATACCCTCCAAAGCAGCGGAAGCCCGGCGTGGCAGCCACAAAAGCAGCCACGGCGGCCTTGCCAGTGAATGCGTGATATTTTTTCCTGCTCTCTTTGTTCCAGCTGATGCAGCAGCAGGCAGCGATCATGGCTTCCGTGGCTCAAGGCGGCTACCTGAACCCCATGGCGGCCTTCGCTGCCGCTCAGATGCAGCAGATGGCGGCACTCAACATGAACGGCCTGGCCGCCACGCCCATGACGCCCACCTCAGGTGAGGGCCCCGCAGCCCCGGGGCTGCTCGGGGCTCCCGCATTTCTGCTGGGCGCATGAAAACACCCGTCCGGCACGCGGCTGCTCTCCTCGCCAGAGGCTCTGGTGCCTTTCCAGCAGAACTGAGCAGGGGGTTGGACAGGATGAGCTCCATGGGCTCATCCAACCTGATGGTTCTAGGAACCTGAGTTTCTGACAGATGTGGGTCTACACATGGACTCTTTGTGCAATGGGGAGCAGGATGAGACCAGTTGCCTGGCACTCAGAACCTCATCCTGCCTGACCTCCCGCTGGAAAGCATCCACCTCACTTCCTTTGGGAGGGACTCCCGGAGAAGGACCCTTGAAAATGACCTCAGGATCCAGGTGGGAACGTGTGGGGGAGGTGAGCCCTTCACTGAATTTGGCAGCTAATGCGGGGATTTCAGGCAGCGTGAGGCTCCCTCCAGAGCAACAGGAAATACTCTGAGCAGCTTGGCCTTTTCCCAAGGGATGTGCAGCCCCAAAGGGCATCTGAGAGCCGGCGGCCGCAAGAAGCAACCACGTGCAGAGGAAGCACCTCTGGGGCGGGAGGCCACAGGGTGGACCCTGAGGACTCGCCTGGGCAGGCGAGCCATCGACACGCAGGACTCACAGCACGCTCTTTCTCTTCTCCTCCTCGTCTAGGTGGCAGCACGCCTCCAGGCATCACCGCACCAGCCGTGCCTAGCATCCCATCTCCCATTGGGGTGAATGGTTTCACTGGCCTACCGCCACAGGCTAATGGGCAGCCCGCTGCAGAAGCTGTCTTTGCCAATGGCATCCATCCTTACCCAGGTATGTCGGGCCACCTCGCTTCCCCAGCCTCCTACTTCCATGGCACCTAACCCAAGACCAGGGTCCTGCTCTGTCCAATTCTTGTGTCTGACAGAAAGAGGGCCTTCCAATGTGTCTGGGCAGGGTCTGATGGTCTGGGTGGTTGGCTGGTTGACCCATTTACTGATTTTGGAATAGTATCCCATTTGACCAGAGTCCCCAAAGCAATTCATGGCATTTCATAGAACACAATTCCATTGAAAGCTTGACTCAACAAAGGCAGAGGCGACAGATATTTGGGTCTGCTAGAAGGGAAACTTCCCCTTGCCCCACTCCCCACAACCAGCCGGCTTGTCTAGGAACCAGGTGTGGAGGGCGCTGTGCTGGCATCTCTGCTGAGGTCTCCTAGCCATGCTTTGGTCCCTGGTGACTTGGATCAGTCCAGTGGGTGAGACGATCTGCTGCTTTAGGTTGGGTATATTTTGCAAATTTCAAAACTTGCTCTCCGGCCCTGAAATCAGATTCTTACAGTGGCGTTTGTAAAAGCCATTGGGAAAATCCCTATTTAAGTTGAGAACCATTTTATGATAGTCCTGCAGAAGAAGCTGCTCTAGAGACCTCTTTACCCCATCCGCTTGGGGCAAGAGCCTTGATCGGGGCCCCAATCCATGGTCACCACCTCTTCCTGCCCCTTCTCGGCGTCTGCTGTGGCACTTGGCCTTCAGCAGCAGCGCAGAATGCACGATCCTCCAGACATTGTAGGACTGCAAGCCCCATCAGCCCTAGCCAGCATAGCCAATGGTGAGGCATGATGGACACTGTAGTCCAGCCACAGAGGCTTCTATTCATTGCAAATCTAATGGAAAACATCTTCCAAAATCAGAGGGTCCAGGAACTACCCCGTAGCTTGTGGAGCAGCATTCCAATGAGCGTGGGAACCGCTTGGAAGTGAACGTGCCTGGGTTGCGCATGTTCGGTCTGTCAAAACAAGCAGCAGCGGTGTGTTCAGAAGACTCCTCGTGAGCTGGTTCACGTGATAAGCTGCTGCTTGAGTGTCGTGTTCTGAATGTGCCCTGTGTGCGCCCTCCTTCGGTGTCTTGCTTCCAAAAGGTCGACCATCCATTGCGTTGCTCTGAGATTTGCGCACTTGCAAAATTGCCAATAGTGCAGCGAAAGGGCAGGGCATAAATCCTGAGCATCAGTAATGGCAGCTGCTGGGCTCAGCCACAGGCCCGGCCCGGCCAGCATCCGGCATCCAGTGGAGGTCCTTCAGAGGCTTCCTGGCACCTCCCAGCGGCTTCAGGCGGGGCTGCCTGAACTCGCCATCCAGCATCACACTGGAGTCACAGATCGGTGGTGCAGCCAGGCTCCAGGTTCGAGGCTCAGTCCCTGGCCTGTCCGGCAAAGGCTGGAAAGAGCCCAGCATGAGACCTGGGGAGCCGCTGCTGCCAGTCCGTGTCGGCAACACAGGGCTAGATGGGCCACAAGTCTGACTCAGTATCAGGCCAGTCCCAGCACACTGAAAGGTCTCAGCTATAGTCCCTAGAGTTCCCAGGAAAGGCTGGGGGAGATCCAGCCAGAAACGTCGCAGAGCTGCTGCTGCCAGTCCGTGTCGGCAACCCAGGGCTAGATGGGCCCAGGGTCCCCCTCAGGATAAGGATTCCTATGCATACATCGTGAAGTCCCTCACTAGCCAGGAGCACCCAACCCCTGGAAAAGTTTCCGGAAAAGCAGATTTGGCCTCCAAAGCTGAAAGATTTGCTGACCAAAAAGGGAAAGAGGGCTGGGACTCCGAGAATGCCAGGCGGCCCTTCTCCCAGGCCACGGCCCAGGTGAAATCAAAGGGAGATCATCAAAAAAGCCGACGGCAGGTCACCGCTTTCTGCCTGCTCAGCTCATTCTTTCCGTTATTGTAGTAATTGTTGTGTCTGAATGCCTAATTAATTACAACAGTAAACGCACACTTCTTTAATCACTGCATCAGCTGTCCTAATCAATCTTCATAATATGGAATCCGTAGTATGGCACCTATGAATTTTAATCTACATAAATTTCATAGGACCTCTTGCAAGCTTGTTGCACCAAATGATATAATTATCATTATAGATTAGGCTTGGGAAGTAGATTAGGCTTGGGGAGCGTGGTTTAAATTGGATTTAGGCAGGAGGTGAGGTGAGCGGTCCCACGTGCCCGCACCACAATTCGGTCTGATCCTGACCTTGCGGAGGTGGCATTCCAGGTGATGCCACGGCACGAGCTCCGGGGGCCGCTGGCAGCCCGAGGACTGCTCAAACTCTAGAGGGTGCAGAGTCCCAGCCCAGAGGGCTTCTCTCACTCACGGCTCACAACCAATCTTCCAACGGGAGCATCCACTTTTGACATGCCACCCATAGAGTTCTGGATGCGGTCCTTGCTTGGTGTTAGAGGGCTAGCCAGCATGGACCGGGCATCGCAACTATCTGGTCTTGCGAGCTTGGGAAAAACTGTGCTAGAATCAGTCTAAGGCCGACTCCTCTCAGTTTCTCCTTTTTTTTCCTGCATAAGGTTCATTCTGTCCTGTTTCTGCAGGTTTTTGTTGAAGTCCATATGAAAATTGATATACAACTTTGTGTGTGCTTATCTAAATGCAGTGCTTTTTTTGTAAGAAAAAGGGTGCCAGAACTCATGAAATTATTTACCTTTCGCACGTAGTCAATCACTGTACGCACACCCACACACGTCAGTTGTGTAACGAAACATAACGGTCGCTGCCCACAGTAAGCACTCAGCGCGCGACCACACGACCAGTCACAAGCCGAGCAGCGCCATCACAACCAGTGTGGACGAAGCACGCATGCCTCGGACTTGACACACAAGCAGCCCACATGCACCGTTTTAATGATTTTGCCGCCGACCTGCTACGCTCGACAGGGCGATGCAAATCCACGTGGACCAAACATCAAATCTTCAAAAGTTACTTTTAAAACTTGGAAAATCTGTTGAAAAAAGGTGCCAGAACTCCGTTCTGGTGCGTTCCATGGCAACAAAAGCACTGCCTAAATGTATGCATCTTTCCAGCAATAAGAACTCTTCCACACTCTTTCCCAAATACGCACAATTCTGCAAGTGCATCCCCCAGTACTGTGTGATTTTGTGCACAAGTATATGCAATTATGCATGTACTTTTCCTGACTGAATACATGTTTGTGCACACTTCCCCCATTCCATGCATTTTGACATGTATTTTCATAAGAAAACGGCACCTCCAGGTATTACTGTACTGCTCCATTCCGGTCCCTGCCAATATTTGGAAAGTTTTGCATGATGCCGGGAACTGCACAAATTTCTCACCTTTCTGTAGGCACATCTAGAACCCATTAGAGACCAAGGCTTAGAACCCAGAAAGCAGGAAGACGGGAAGAGCTAGGACTAGAAATTCAAGTAGGCATGGAGGAAAGCTGCACTCTAGAAAGTCTCCAAGGTATTTCTGGCAGGCTGCATTTCTGGCTTTCTGGCACCTGGAGACATCTCATTCCAGCAGCCCTCTGTGACAACCCAGCGTGTGGTGGCCTCATGCCTCCTTGTGGGGTGAGGCGGGGAGGAAAGGATGCAGGCCTGCTCTTTCCCTCGTAACCGGTGCTCTGCCCTCAGCTTCTCTATTTTTAACCTCTGATTGGTGTAAACCTCATAGCGGTGGTGGCATTTCTCATGGAATTGGGAAGTTGGCCTTTCTTGCACCCAGCGGTCTAGTTCCCTGTTCCCCTCAGTCCCACAACGCTCCTTGATGCTCACTGGCCACCCTATCGATGCTGGAGGCCTGCCAAGCTTCCCTGGAAGAGGAAGCCCTCCTTGTCAAGCCGGCTGCAGCATTTGGGGCATCCGTCCAGCAGAGAGTCGGGGAAGTGACATTAACAGATCTGCTGAAGGACTTGGGAGTCGTTTTTTGACTCCTGCCTAATGAATAAATGCTGCCTTCATCAAATAGATATTTATGGTTGTCAAGTCGGTCATTAGATTGCTTTATGTCTCCAGCTTTATGCAAGGTTCTCCTCCATGGTCACACCGGGTCATCTTGGTCAAGATCACCTTACACAAGAGGCCACTGCTTTTGAGAGTGCCTCTTCCTCCGCAAGGTGGGAAGGTGGAACGGAGGGAAGGCACCCTCTGTCCCTCGGCTGGCCTCGGAAGCGCTTGCCCCAAGTGGACAAGAGATGCTGCATTCCCCACCCATTTGACCTGCTCAGTTTTGTCTTGAACCTCATGGGCAGGATCTGTCATCCCCGCAGGCCAGCCACCATCCCTGCTCTGTCTCTAACAGTGTGCATTTGCATGCACCTTTATTGCACTGAAACCCACACAGCTGAAGCATGTGGGAACAGGCCCTGGGATTCATCACTGCCTGTGGGTTTCCTGTGAGGGGAGCGGGTTCCAGGAAGCATCTTCCCATGCACAGTCCTTTCCACCACGTAGCTGTACAAACGGTGGTTAAGGTGTGTGCTCGGCACGGCCGCAAACTGCAGAAGTTCCAAATGTGGCAAATTTGGGCATGCAGAGCTATTCTTTAGGCTGCCATTCCCCTTCTGCTCCTGTTCAAGCCAAAGCAGGATGCCCAGGAACTGGGTCACATCGCTCAGGATTTCCCAAACCCCTTGAACCTGTAGGATGGCTTCTATGCACAAGCAGGGTCCCCGATGCCATCAGAACAAGAGAGGAGTTGCTTGCAAAGCCGTCCAGCAGGCTACAGAAGATGCTCTGGTTCTTTTGAAGTCAAAATCTGCAGATTCTCTCCATTTGACAAATAAACACCGGTGAACCATGCCGGTTTTGTTTGCCAAGAATTGCGATGAAGGGCTTTTGGTTTTGTTCTTGCTTGCCGTATCTGGCCAAGTCCTGGCTCACATTCGTAAACAACAGTTCTGTGCAGCCATATAAGCTTCTGTCGCTTAATGGCCTGCGATAAATACCTGTGACAGGGCAGGATAAGACCACCCAGGGTCTCTGTCCAGGCTTGCACTGATGCTGTATCTTGCCTCCAGGTGATTCCCCCCCCCCCACAGATAGCAGGGAAGTGGGGCAGGCAGGGCAGATGGGGAGTGCACCCACAGCCCTCAAGGAACTGTCTTGAAAGCGCAAAGCTGCAGGGGCTGCATTAACGCCGGACGATGCAGCGCCGATCAATACGAACCGGTCTCCTAACAAGAAGTGAAATATTAGGGCCAAGGGGAGACTAGGGGGACGAGATTCAGCCAGGCCTTACTCTAGATATTTTGTGGCTGCAGATACGGGAAAAGTGAGTGTATGAAGTTCTGTAAGCCAGGGGGAAGAGGACGGTGGAAAACCCCAGCCTGCTTCAGCTTAACTTCTATTTCTAGGCAGGCTTTGGAATATGATGTTTCAACATGCCAGTCCCTGCAGATGTCGGAGGGGCAGATGCGAGAGTTACCTTCAGAAAAGCTCAGACTGCGTGTGTCGAAGGAAAGCTCACTTGAAATCCATTTGGATTGGCCCAGATGATGCCACTGGAAGTTTCGGCCCATTCTAAGCTCCATGCCGTGCTGAAATACCAAAGGCTCCCTTCCATTTCCCAGGCTCACGTTCCCTTCAGTACTGTCGCAACAGCATCCCAGGTGGAGGGAGCCACAGGAATTCTCCCTTCCCAGGGCTTTGGGGTCCCTGGCAAATATTTAGTGGCTGGCAGTTCTGGTTGCTTCACTGGGCCAAAGTGGCAAAAGGGCCGTAAATGTGCTTTTTTCCTCAGCAGAAGACTAGCAATTATAGAAAACACAGAAACAGAGCGAGTCAGCAGGGGCCTCCTGGGCCATCTAGTCTGACCCCCAGCTCCAGCCGGCTCTGCTCAGGACATGCCCACCATGCGCATGTCCAGCCTATCCTTGGACACCCTCACCGGTGGGGCCTCAACCACCTCCCGAGGAAGCCCATTCCACACCCTCGGGGTCCTGACTGTCAGGAAGTGCTTCCTGGCATCCAAATGGAACCTTGGCTCCCTGAGCTTTGCTCCATTGGAACGTGTCCTGCCTTCCTCTGCAGGGGAGAACAGGTCTCCACCCCTCTCCATGTGACATCCCCTCACATATCTGTATGTTGCCAACATATCCCCTCCGAGTCTCCTCTTCTCCAGGCTGAAGAGACCCAGTTCCCTCAGTCTCGCCTCATACGGCATCCCCTGCAAACGGGCCACCAACCTTGTGGCCCTACGCTGCACTGACTCCAACCTGGCTATATCCCTCCTGCAACGAGGGACCCAGAACTGAGCACAATATTCCAGTTGTGGGCACACCAGAGTCGCACAGGGAGGTAGTAATCAGATTTGCTTGTACCTACAGCGCTCTTGGAATCCTTTGAAGGACCACTGCTTTGATTCAGCACTGCACTTCTCTGCAACCCCTGCCCAGGAACGTCCTCAAATGAAATGGGATCGGGTCCAGTTCCTAATGAGAATTGCGCTTCGCCCGCCAAGGAGAGCCAAGGCGGCGCACGTGCCTTTAACCCTCCGCTCTCTTTCCCTCTTGTGTCTCCACAGCACAGAGTCCCACGGCGGCCGATCCCCTCCAGCAAGCATACGCAGGAGTCCAGCAGTACGCAGGTCGTTAGTATTAACACTTTCCCCCAATAAACCTTTCACTTGCCTGATGTGCGCACCCTTCGCAGCTGGCACACGGCAGGATGTGTGGGAATTCCATGTCGGGTGGGGGGAGAACGCCCTTTCCCCGGATGTTTCCCGTTTCATTTGCTGTGCTTCCGCCTGTCCCGGCCTGCATCGATTTCATCTGCAGCGCATCAAGCCAGTGCGTAGCATAGATTTAAGCCGGTCACATGTGCACAGATGCCGTCAGAAGTTTTGTGGTTATTTTTAGTGGCATCCTTGCGTGATTGCATGTTCTACAAAGGCATGCTTTCCTCTTGTGAAGGTCCTAGTCAGGTTCATCCTCGTTTTGAGCTATTCCTTTATTTATTTTTTTACATTTATTTTATTGATTTAAAACTTTTCTGGATCGTCTGTTACCGTAGTCTCGGGCAGTTTAACAACAAGACAATATAAAATAAAACAAAACACGGCGCCCTAATAAATGTTGCAGCCAACAATAATACCCCGATTAAAACAATCAAATCTTAAGACATTGGGAGAATAAAAAGGTTTTAGCCTGGTGCTGAAAAGAATAAAGTGACGGTGCCAGGCAAACATCTCTGGGGAGCGAATTCCACAATCGGGGTGCCACCACAGAGAAGGCCCTTCTCCTGGTAGCCCCCCTCCTAATCTCCTTCAGGGAGGGCACCCAGAGAAGGGCCTCTGCCCCAGTTCTTAAGGGGTGGGCAGGCACCTATGGAAGGAGATGCTCCTTCAAGTAGCCAGACCCTAAGCTGTTTAGGGCTGTATAGGTCAGCACCAGCACCTTAAACTGGGCCATGACTTCAACTGGTAGCCAGTGTAGATGGAAAAGGTCATTTAAACGTCATTTTAATTGTTAACATTATTTATTGGTTTTATATCTCTGGCCAGGACGTCTCCAATTATATTGTTTTATATGGTTAACGTGTATTTATTTATTTATTGTTGTGAGCCGCCCCGAGGCTTCGGTGAATGGGGTGGCATAGAAGCTTGCTAAATAAATGAATAAATAAATGGACCGGCATTATGTGTTCATATCTGCCGGTCCCTGTTAACAACCTGGCAGCTCTATTCTGGACCAGTTGAAGTATCCAGACCGTCTTCAAGGGCAGCCCCACATAGACCTGCAGGGCCTTATTTCCTGGCTGTAAAAGAACTTGCCTGTTTTTCCCTCTGTTTCTGCACTTCTCAAGCAAATAGGGTCAAGGAAATTGTCACCTTCCATCACAAGTACACAATGCCCTCTACTGGGCCACACAAATGGGCTACAGCGAGCACGAAACTGACCGGACTCTTTACAAGGGGAGGCATCTGCCGCGCAGCATCCAGGACAGCTCACAGTTGAGCATATGCACTACAAATGCGCTTTTTAAAATGCTCCAGTGTGCAGCTCCCCCTCCCCTGCAAAATGCACACATTGCCATTTGTGCAAAGGGCAGCTGACCTGCCTCCCCACTCCAAAAAGGGCAATTTTTCCTCAGAAGGTAGGCGGGGGGATGCTCGGCGTACTAGACTGGACGTGTTGAGGACCCCCACAAGACTCAGGCGGAATGGAATCCCTGCCTCGCACATCCCTGATCAAATGCTTCGCATCTGAAAAGCACAACTCAAAAAGTGCACCATACCGAGTTGCTCAAAGGGGGCATTTATTCATGAACCCTTTTAGTACATTTCTAGGCAGTCTTTCCATTTGAAAAAGTGCCTGTAGAGGGGGGCCATCTCCACACCATCGCAGAAGCAATGAGGCCCCAGAAGCAGGGGTGGGTGGGAAGGTCCTGGAGCACCTTCCGGATACCTCCTAGGATGGCCCCTCTGGCCTCCCCCTCCCCCCCCCAAATATCCCCATCGGCCCCTCCCTGAGGAGACAGTTCCCTGGCCTCAGAGAGAAGCTGGTGCAGTTCTCGCCAGGGCAGCAATGGAGACAGCGAGAGACAGTGCCACCTCCCAGCTCTCAATCCAGAGCAATTTTCTCCAGCCTTGGGCTTGAGAAGCAGGGCCCTCACACAATAACTAGATGCCACAGGAGAGTTCCCTTTAAAAGTGTATTCTTTCTTCTTTCCTCCTTTTTAAGAGCAGTTAAAATATATTTGCATGTGAAGCCAAATTTACAGCAATGCTCCACTTTTGTGTGTGTTGGGGGGGGGTGCATCTCACAATATCCTGCAAGCATTCAAACAAAAGTGCAGACTCTAGAGTTGAAGACAGTACCCCACACTCTCCCTCTTTTTCCAAAGCACAAGTTTCTAGGCCTGATGGAGGCTTGAAAGAATATGCCAATATCTTATAGAATGGCTGAAGCCACAGGTAAGCTGTCCAGATGGAAGGGCTTGAGAGCCGTTGTGCTGCTCCCAACCCCTTCCCTTAATTAGCAGCATCAATTATGCAAAATAGGAAAGTTTGCAGCTTTGCACATCGAGTGTAAAAATAGAAACATTTCATCTGGGCAATTATTTATCTTTAAAGCTATTCATCACATGCTGAAGTGTTTTTTTGTTGACGTATATCTCCGCAAAAGCAGAAGAATTCAGTGGAATGTCCTGGCTTTTGTTTGCCAATTTAAAAAATGCCATTTTGGCCGTTTAATAAGTGACTGCTAGCGGAGAGGAACTGCTTTCAGCCTTCTCTTAAATAGGACAAATCTTTGTGTACTAGCGTAAACCTGCACTAACACCCCCACCCTCAAACACACAAAGCCTCAAATGGCAGTGTGTTATTTTCTAAAGTGGCCATTCAAAGCTTCCGCGGGCTCCTGAGAAAATTGTCCAAGGATCACGGCCTTCCGAAAACTTTTTGTAAGCCAAGTTGCCCAGGTAGAAGATTCTTACTGAAATTGGTTGGGCTTTTCTGGAATGGTTCACGAGATGCATTAAGCAGCCTTCACAATCGTTCCCAAATTAAATCTCACCATGTGCGGCTGAAGCCGGGCACCTCTCTCCATGCTCTTCATGGAAGGGATACAGGACAACGGAGGATCGTGCTAGCACCTCACCAAGCAGCAGCTCCGCCTCGGCCGTAGCAATCGCTTGAGGAGCTGCATAGCCGTGCCGGGAAGTCTCACCTGGCACTTGAGAGGCAGAGCGGGGCTAGCGAGCAAGCAGACAAAGGCGGGGAGAGGAATGTTTGGGAGCAGGTCAAGGCAGAGGCAACCCAGAGGTCCTCAGGCAGCCCTTTTGCCAGGCCTCCTGTCCTTCACTTGCAAAATGCAGTGGGGCTTTGACGCGGCACGCTTGCCCGCGAGGAGACCCTCCACACCCCTAAAACTGGTTCTAGGTGCTCCGTTTGCTTAATGCTTCAGCCTTTCGCTGCAACCAAGCCATTTCCTTCCCGTTGCTCCTTATTCCACCGTGGACTGGAGATGTTCCACTTGGTTCACCATGAACGGTGTCGTTCACTGGGCTTTAGCTCCTGCCAGTTACGGGCCACGTGTTGGGCAGGCGGGCCCTGGAAGAGACCTCCGATGACGAGGCCTTGGGCCTTTACCTCACCAGTACCCATGCCGACGAGCCAGGCTGCGAAGGAACCCTAATGCCGAATTTGGCTCAAGACACAGTGCGCCTCACGGCCGCTGTCCGTGGTGCTGATGCCTCCCCTAGCAAGGCTGTTGTGTGAGCTGAGCCTGAGCTCACCATGCATTGCCCCTTTGCTTCTTTCGGGAAGCTCTGCGGGCTAAAGCAAAGATAATTTGGCACACTTAACTGAAGCCTGACCTTGACTTCTCATTCCCTATCAATGACTTGGACCCAGATCACGATGCTCGTGGGGACAGAGGCATCACAGGGCATGGGCGACGGGTTGGCGACAACCATCCGCTGTAAGATTTAAAATGTTCTGGATGCAGGCTCAGCCGGCACAACCCACGCTCCGTGGCCCTGAATGTGGCCCCACAGACTTGCACGCCGAGTCCACCAGGACTCCTTGTTTCTTCTTGTTTTTCCCTCCTCCTTTTCTCGTGCATTTCCTTCCAGAAAGCTTAGAGAGGCTTGCATGGAGCCCCATAAAAGCCCTGAGTAGTGTCAGTCCTGCGTGGCTGCAGCGGAGTCCCAGCAGCAGGTCCCCCTTGGCCATTCACAGACCCTGTGAGGCTGCCCTCCTGGGACCAGGAAGAGGTGCCGTGGCCCCGCTGGTCCACAAGGGGGCACACAGTACAGCAGGAGTGGTCAAATATCTGGCGCGAAGGAGTTGCTTTGTTTTTTGCTAGAACCTCGATGTCCACCAGCCAGAGCTAGATGCAAAATGGGGGCAGAATGCAGGTCCCCATGTGACTCTGAGCATTTCTCAGCCCAAATGGTTTTCGTTACATTTGACACACCTGAACACTCACACCTGGTTTCTCCCCAAGATGTTTTCACTGGAGTATCCTGATTTTGGAAGTAGGGGGGCAGGGACCCTTGCAGGTACGGCAAGGGGAGCTGGACACGGCTGTCCACCTACTGCAACTCACCTGAAGTCCGCCAGTGGTTTCTGCTCTACCCTTTGCCTCTGCTGTACTTTAACTGGAGTGTCAAGGTGGAATTTGCATGTGTGGATGAGCCTTCATGCCCCAAGCACCACAAAAGAAACCCTACAGCTCACCCAACAGGATGTCTTTTGGCAGAGTCTCTTGATACCTTCAGACCTGGCCTACAAAGAAAACTACACCTATGCCCAAAGAGTGCTAAGAGTTACAACGTAGGAGCAACAAGAAAAGACGTTCCAGTATCTGGGCTTGTGTTGCAATAAGGAGATACGATTCTTGGTTGGGGTCCTCATCAGGGTAACGTTCTGGTCCTGCTATTATCCTGAAATCTTCCCTTCTTTCTTTTCTCCACCTCTTCCCCCTGTAGCTGCTTACCCTGCTGCATATGGCCAGATAAGCCAAGCCTTCCCACAGCCGCCTCCAATGATCCCGCAGCAACAGAGAGAAGGTGAGTCTTTGGGAGGAGTCGCAGACCGAAGGCTGGTCTTTCCAGAGCTCCAGAAACACTGGCTCCCAGACAGCCGTCCAGGTCCCCACCCGTCCTTGTGTGCACTGTAGAAAACACCGGGCTGTTGTAAGAAAACATGCAGTTGCTCATGGATACTCGTAGGTAATAGCAAAAGAAGGCCCATGCCAGAGGTCAGCAGAGAAACTAAAAGGAAAGGTGGGGCAGAAAACTATGGAAGAGGAAACAGTGAGGATTCGTAGGTTTGTCTAAGACATTGGTCAGAATAGACATGGCCCCTCTATTAAGCAAACCAAAGATGAGGAATTAGTTTCAACTAACACTTCATCTGCATTAAATATTCTCACTTTCAGGCACCCCGTGTTGTTTTAACAGGTATCCACACCACAGTTATCAGGTCTTTGGTGAAGCTTCACATGCGGCAAAACAAAATTTTCAGGAGTGGTAGTGCATGCATTTTCTGAGGCAGAAATTATTTCTCTGTAGAAAACACCATGCTGGGTGTGAAGCTACCCCGGAGGGTGACAGCCCACTGGTTTTCTGGCAATGCTTCCATCCAAAAACTCTTTTGCCAGAAACCACAACAATTTTATTTTGGAAGTGTCTGGACTGATCCTTGAGTTTCAATCAGCCCCAAGAAATCTGCAGACTGTACCTCCGTGACTCCCTTGTTTCTTCCGCTCATTGATTGAGCAAGCCTGGCTCTTCCTGACAAAGAGGTTCTTCACCTGCCGATATACCTGTTCTGTAGATAACAACAAACCCACTATGGTCCACCAGAGTCCCACATCTTCTGTTCTACTTCTCCTAACAGAGAGAAGAAGAAATACTGTTACTTTGATGTGAGTCCAAGTTTGGTTGTATTTGTTCTCTCTCTGTGGTAGCTACTAGATGGCTATGGTCCATACAGAACATAACAAAATAATGAGAAAACTGTGATATTTTGCCTCTAGGGTCTCCTGGACACCAGCTTATGAATGACACCAGGGCCTGATGTTTATCTGTACCTGCATTTATCAAACACAGAAATCTGGTATAAAATGAGACAGAGAACCTTAGAGGGATGGGAGAGGAATCCATCTGGGGTAGGAATCCATCTGATTCCCTAGGTTCAGCTCCCTGAAATCCAATCCACTTGCCAAATTCCCGGCAAGCAGGCAAACATTCATGGAACGCTTGCCAGGCATTGCACAGAATTCTTCTGTGGGCCAACAAGCAGGGAGGAGGGTTGGTTGCCAAGCATGCTAGCTGGTGTGCCCCTTGAAGCTCTGCACCTTCACCGCCTTCAGCTGTTGTGCAACTGGGGGTCCACCAGGATCCACAGACTTCCTCTTGGCTCAGCTCACGTTGAAGGACCAGGCCAAACATGCGAGGAAGTCTGCAGATGCTGGAGGGACAGAGTCCAAAAAGGGCCATCCCAACCCTCCCTTTGAGTACGTTGCCAGTCCCAGTCATTCACACAGCTCTACTTTTTGGGAGCCTCAATATGTGCATTGAAGGTACATTTGTAATTCTCTGCTCATGGTGCTTTGCTGGGGTTTCACACAGCAGGTCGTCTCCCAGCAAGCTCCCTGTTTACAGCCATTTTTGTGCTGTGTTTTAGAATAAGGATAATCAGCTACCTTTTAGCTATCATAATAACTCATGTCCCTGTGTTTGGACAAATATCCTGTACTGGAATGCCATGTTGTGGTTGTGCAAGCAAACATTTAAGAAGGCAGAGGAAGACCTATGAATAAAGGACCTGCTCTTACTCCTGCAAAGGAAAAGACAAATGCTGGGTTAAGCAACTCAAGCAGAGAAGCCCTCAACATGCAAAGTATTCCTTTATTAACTCGGTGTCCAACTAGCCTTTGGGCCACTAACTGTCTGAACATGGAGGACTGAGGCTGAGAGAAAGTGAACAGCCAAAGTGTAACTGGAGAGCAATGTAGCTCCAGTATTCCCACTCCATTTCCCAGATCTTTTCTGAAGTGTCCATTATTCCAAAGCAGGACCAAAGCGCTTCCTCCTCCTTGGCTGCACAGAATGGGGGAAAAATGGAGGAAAGGATGCCCCGGGCTCCATCTTTGCTTAGCAAGGAGTGGAGAAGGTGCTTGGATGACATCTTTCAGGCATGTTAGCAAAGAGGAAGCCACACTACATCTAACTTTCTGGAGAAAGACAGCCATGCATCACTTCACTGGTGATAAGGAGAGGGACCCCCGTTACTCTCTCTGAGCAGAGTTCTCCTTCTTGAGGACTGACTTGAGAAGAGAGAAGCTAAGCCCCAACAGGACATTTCTGACTGGAGACCCCAAACATCAAACACAGCCATGAAACATGAAAAGTTCGGATGGGTCTAACTGAGTCTAAATATTCTTAGTCCTGGAGGAAGAGTTTCAATGCCAACTCTTCTCACTGAGAGCAGGAACTGTTCTCCACTCCACATCCTGTAACTCAATATTGGATAGAAAGTAGATCTTCAGATGTTTGGGACTTCAGACCCCAGCATTCCTGACCAATGGGCATGGTGGTGAGGGCTTCTGGGAGGAGAAGTCCCAAAGAACTGCACACCTACAGTCTGACCACCGTTGGTCTAGCAGGATTGCTTGAGGGACCAGAGTTGCATGCCATGTAGGTTTCTGTGGGTGACCCACTCTGCCTTTGGAGGGGTTGCTGCAACCTTGACTCTTCCGGAACTTTTCAATGTTCGGATTAACGCCTCCCTTCTCCAGGCATTAATTCATTCGTTGGCCTGGCATGGTGAACCCAAACCTGCTCCACTCTGTTGGGATAAACTTCATGGCAGTCAGGAGCTTTGCCCAACGCGGCGGATTGGCTGATCCTTTTAGCAAAGTAGTGGGGAAAATTGTGCTTAGCAAGTCTTCATCTGGGCTTCATTTTCTATTAATCCAAAAAGAAAATGTGGAGGGGGAAAGTGCCTTCAATCACACTGAGGCCCGGGAATTTTAATGAGCTTTAAATGGGTGTCTGTCAGAATCCTGACTCGGCGGAACTACTCCTGCCAGCCGGGGGAGTGAGTGATGGCCAATAAAAACGGGGAGCACCTCTCTGCACTCGTCTCTCTAACGGGAAAGGCGAAGTTGTAATTTGCTATGTTATGACACTATAATTATGCCCCGATGAAGAAAGGGAGAACATTAAAAATCCTTCTCTTCTACATGGTACAGCCCATTCCCTCCCTCCCTCCCCCCGCCATTGAGGAAGGATTGGTTTAACCCATGCTCTGCTGGTCTGTCCTGATGGCTTCCAAATGGAACTTCAGGGAAAGAGACTTCTATGGCGATGGTCCCGCCAGATTCCGTCTCAGATGCTGCCATCAAAATCAGTCACACAACTGAGTCCAAGTGGCCCCTCTCTTTGGAGAACCAGACCCGTGTCTTTAGAAAGGCCGTGTCGAGCCTTTCCTTTCTCGCACATTTCCTTGCAAGATCAGGGCCTGGATCACCCCTTTCCCTTTGAAGCAGATGCTTGCTGGTGTGTCCAGCTGCTGGGACCCTTATCAGGAAGGGACTGAGCAGGCCATCTCCGCATGCCCATGGCCAGTAGCCAGAATTGTGGCATACTAATGCCCAGGACCGGAGACAGCATGCAGACTTCCTGGATGGTGTGTGGTCAGGTCATCTCTGGCTTATGGCGACCCTCAGAAGGAAAGCCTTCCCAAATGATGTACGCATGACAGCCCTGCTCAACGGTTCCCAGTCCAGGACTGTGGCTCCCTCTATGGAGTCAATCCATCTCTCGTCTGGCCTTCCTTCTTCCGCCTTCAGCTTCCCAGAGCCTGTTGGTCTTCTCAGAGAGTCCCACCTTCTCAGAGAGTCCCATAACATAACCATGGCACAAGAGAAGCGAGCAGTCCGTAAAGCCAGAGTTGCAAACATTGCAACAATGGTGCCCACACACGTCTGCCCGACAAGTGGCAGAACACTCCGTGCCCGCATCGGCCTTATCAGCCACCTGCGGACACACCGTGGACAGCTCACAACCCGTTAGATGTCAAGGTCCTCATCGAAAGCGATGGACAAACATCATCACCTTCTCATGAGGTGCCCAAAGTAGCCTAGCCTCAGCTTGGCCATGTTTGCTTCTAGGGAGAGCTCTCCCTTGATTTGATTCAGGGCCAAGTAAGAAAACAATGAGATTAATCCAAGAAAGGAACTTTCTCTGAACTAGTTTTGCCATTTTTCCCACAGTGCTAAACCTTGTGTAACTTTACTCAGCTGAACCCCCCACCCCTCAATTTACTTTTGTTGATGAACTGCCTCTCTCCCTACCCACCACCGCCCCACCCTCCATCAATCCAGGGACTACACAGGAGTTTGGACTGCATACCTGGCCTTCCCCAGCCTGGTGTGCTCAAGATGTGTTGGGTTGGAGTTCCCATCATCTCCATCATAGGCCATGCTGCCCGGGAAAGATGTGACCTGTAGCCGAATGGGTCTCCTGAAGCACACCTGATTGCGACAACCTGGGAAAGGCCTTAGCCTGGCCCAGCCAGTTTCTTACCTTTTGTCTAGAAAAAGAAACAGGAAAAGAACCCAGAATGTCTTCCCACGGCATGGCCAAAGATGGCCCTCTTCATGGGTTAAGAGAACCCATGAGGTACTTTAGGCTGAGAATTGGTGATCGGCCCAACATCAACCAGGGAGCTTCATGGACAACCGAAGACCCGAAACCATATCTCCCCAGTCCTACCCCCACTCGCACGGCCATGTCATGGCTCATGGAGAGCTCGCCTCCCACACACACCCCAGGAACACTGAAATAATTTTTTCTCACGTTCGGGCAGACAGCAGTCGTGCCATGTCGGCCGAGGGCACCTTCCTCCTTTGGGACAAGGGAGGTGGCAATCCGCAGCCCAGAGGCAGGTGACCGGCCGGCTGGGACCCCCACGAGTGCCAGTGCTAGCAAGGGCCAGGAGAGAAGAAGGTTGCATTTCTGCCATGGCAACAGGGAACCCCTCACCCTCCGGGATCGGCTGAAGCAGCCTTGTCTTGGCCGGCTCCCCAAAGCTCCCTCCAAGGAAAGGAAAGGAAAGGAAAGGAAAGGAAAGGAAAGGAAAGGAAAGGAAAGAAGCTTCACAAGGACAGAAGCCTCTTGGAGGGAGGGCTGTCTGTCATTCTGGAGGAACTTTCATGACAGGACTCTGCCATGGCAGCTGAGCCCTGGTGTGTGTGTGGTGGGGTGGGGCGGAGGAGGAGGTGGAGGGCCCAGGCCAGGAGCTCAAGAAGCCCATGTTTGCAGGCCAATGGCCTGGGGGAAGCAGGACGATGGGGAAGGGGGCTGCCAAAAGCCCCTGGTGCAGCGGGAGGAGGGCCCCTGGCTGCCCAAGGAGACGAAGAAGCCCCCGCCCCCGGAAGGGGGCCTGCACCACTGAAAGGAGGGCACGCAATTGCATTAGGCTTGCAGGGGCTGCTTGGCAGATGGTGCAGAGTGAGAGCTGAGCTGCCGGGATTTAAATAGAAGTTCTGTTCAACTCACCAGAACAGAGGAGATGGTGACTGGGATCCCATGCCTGCTCTCCCGCTGTCCAGGCACCAACTGCTTGTGGACAACTCCAAGGCCCATCAGCTCTTCCCCCTGGCGGTTCTTCGTCTTTATGCTGGGTTAGAACAGGCCTTCGAGTGGAGAAGGCCTGTTTAAGGGGCGGTCCTCCATGAACAGGGTGTCCATCCCACCCTAGGTCTAGAGCAGGATAGGCCACCTGCTGTTCTCCAGGTGATTGGAACTACAGTTCCCATCATCCCTGGACATAGGCCTTGCTGGCTGTGATATGACAAACATGCTCAGCGGCAGCTGCCATGCATGGCCAGTTGTGGGACACCACAATCTATGCCACCAGCACAATCTATGACTAAAGTTGCCAGTGCAGTGATGCCTTGTCGACCTGCCCCTTGGATGCTGAAAATGAGCGTGCTTTGAAGAAGGCTGCAGTAGAACCCCCTTTCCCTGAGAGGCTAGCTTACTGTGTGCAGGGAAGGTCTCTTTTGCCCGGAGAGGTTAGCTTACTGTGTGCAGGGAAGGTCTCTTTTGCCCGGAGAGGCTAGCTTACTGTGTGCAGGGAAGGTCTCTTTTGCCCTGAGAGGCTAGCTGATTGTGTGCAGGGAAGGTCTCTTTTGCCCTGAGAGGCTAGCTTAGTGTGTGCAGGGAAGGTCTTCTCATACCAGAGGAAAACGCTCCATGCAGCAAACCTCGCGTTCGGTGCCGGCCGTGCTCCTTGATTCCCAGGCTCCTTAGCTTGCCTTTCTCTCTCTCCTTCATCTCGCCCGCAGGACCAGAGGGCTGCAACCTGTTTATCTACCATCTGCCCCAGGAGTTTGGGGACGCAGAGCTGATGCAGATGTTCCTGCCATTCGGTAATGTCATCTCCTCGAAAGTGTTTGTGGATCGGGCGACAAACCAAAGTAAATGCTTTGGTGGGTAAAGATAACAAAACAATTAGATTCATCCAGGGAAGGAACTTTCTCTGAACTACTTTTACCATTTTTTCCCTCAAACTGCTATACTTTTTGTAACTTTACTTAGCTGGTTTTTTTTCTCAATTTACCTTTGTTGATATACCGTTTTTCCCCACCCACCACCGCCCTCCCCCCCCCCCCTCTCTCCCCCTTTGCCCCTCCCCCCTTTTTCCCCCCCCCCCCCCGCCCCCCCCCCCCCCTTTCTCACTGTCTCATCCTCGGAACTGTTTGCCCCGGTACAGAGAGGCCCAGCGGCCCTTGGGCGGCATCCCAGGTCCTGGTCGATGGAATGGGGAGGTGCTGTGCCCTGGGAAGGCAAGCGGAGAGCCCACGGGCGGGAGCGGAGGCGCCTCATGCCGGATCAGAGTCCGGGTGGCGGGGAGGCGAGCCCTCCGATCCGGCAGGGCCCAGCACCCGGGGAGGCCGGCCGGCTGCGGGAGGTGGTGCCCGGAGAGCGGAGAGGGTGGGCTCTTTTGACCAGAGGCGGAAGGGCTTGGCTGCAGGACTCAAAAGTGCATGTTGGAGAATGTGATCCCTATGTCTGGATTCTTTGTAGGTTGTCCCCATCCTCGCTCCTTCCCCCTCTTGTGCTGCTGTTCACTGTCTTGGATGTGATGTTCTCCCATGGGGTTTGGGAAACGGCTCGGGCGGCATTCATCCCCCTCCTGCCATCCCCTCACATTTTTCAGCCCTCCCATTCTCCCCCAAAGCCCCAGCCCCGAAGGACCAAGGGGTCACTGAGCGGTCTGGAGGGATTCTCGTCCTCCTTGTCGTGCCCAGCCCCAGCCCACATCCAGGCTCCTGACTCCCCTGGCCCAGGGCGACACACTGGGTGTCTCCGAAGTAACACAAGTGAGGCTCAGAATACGGAGGAAAACATCTGCCCCCAGATGTGTTGGAGGAGCGGGGGTATCACACACGCTCTGGCCACCCTGAAAAATGGAGGCTTTGTCTACCGTGTGCATGTCCAGCCTGTCCTTGAACCCCCTCCCATGGAAGCCCATTCCATACCCTCAGGAGCCTAGCCATCAGGAAGGACTTCCTGGCACCCAAAGTGAACCTTGGTTCCTTGAGCTTGGCTCCATTGGAAGGCATCCTGCCCTCCACTGCAGGGGAAAAACGGTCTTGACCCACCTCTGCGTGGCACCCTCTCACGTACCTGTACATTGCTAACAGGTCCCCTCTGAGTCTCCTCCTCTCAAGGCTGAAAAGACTCTGCTCCCTCAGTCTCTTCTGATATGGCTTACCTTGCAAACCAGTCACCATCCTAGTGGCCTTCGCTGCACTGATTCCAACCTGGTTATATCCCTCTCGTATTGGGCCCCCCAGAATTGAACTCAAATACTCCGGTTGCGGGCACACCAGAATCATATGGAGTGGCAGTAATACCCCTCTCGATCGAGAAGCCACACTTCTGGCTATGCAACCAAGGGTGGCGCTCGCCCTCTTGGCCACCACATCACACTGCTGGCTCATGTTCAGCCTGCAGTCAACCAGCACCCCGAGGTCCCTTTCACAGGTGCTGCCAAGGTTCTGGGGGGAAAGGAAAGAGTGAGTCTGCACTCCAGTCTGGTTTCAACAGGGGTCTGATTAACTTCTTCTTCAAAGGATCAGGTTCCCATCATCTTTAGGAAAGCTAAAAGACTTTTCACCCATGCATAATGCTGTTGGTACAGAAAAACTACCCCCATTAGCAACAGAAAACAAGATTTGATTTTTTATTTTTTTTACACCGATGTGTAACAACTGGGCAATTGTTTCTGAAAGTCCAACAGTGTGTATGACAGATGGGCATGAAGACTTCTGTCCGATGGCCTCATCGAAGCAGACTTGAGACCTACTGCAAAAGTCCCACCAAAGCCCAAAAACTGGTTTCACAAACTGGAAACAAACTAGTTTCACACCCTTCCTCTTCAGTCTGATCATATTTTGAGCAAAGCCTCTGTCCATCATGGGACCATACAGTGTCCAGCATCCCGTCCCACAGGCTGCATTAAAATAAGGCATTAATTTCTGAACACAAGTGAAAAGTTACTGGATTCTAAGTATAGCAAAAGAAACAGGCTTGTTAAAATCTGCCAGGGAATTTTGCCTTTCTATCGAGAAATGAATCCAACTCCCTCGCCCTGATCCAACCCTGCCCTCTATGGAATGTGCTGTTGAGTCCTTGGATGAAGAACCATCACCCATGTGCCACCTGTCCACTGCAACCTTCCCCCATCTGATGTTCTCCAGACCTGTTCGACCACAATTCCCATCCAGTTCCCCCAACAGGACTATGCTGCATGGTGTCTGGAGATCATGGGATTTGTAGTCCAGAGCATCTGGAAGGTCCCAGATTGGGGAAGGTTGTAGCAGGAAGGTGACACATGCATCCGATGATGGGTCCTTATCCAGTCACTGATCAGCACCAAAAATCTGTGTCCCCAGACCGTTAGCACTGGGTCAGGTGCCCCTGATGAATCCACATATATCATGCTAAGCAGGCAGATGCAGCAAGAGTCCGGCTGGGTTCACACAACATGATAATCCATGCGCAAAGGTTGAGTCATGAATTGCGTCATGTGAACCCAGTCCCAATAGCAAGCCGTGGTTTGTTACCCATGAACAGCCCACAGTTCACAGTAAGAATAACCTTGCGCCCACTCCTGAAACTAGTACAAAAGTGGAAGCCAAGCCAGTCTCTGGGACATCATGGAAGGAACACATACCACCTGTTTTAAAGTCTTTGTGCTGCTTACCAGTACATTTCTGGATGCAGTACAAGGTGTTAGTATTTATCGTTAATACCCTGCATGGCTTGGGTCCAAAATACCTTCAGGAGGACCTTTGGCCATACACTTTGCCCCACCAGCTAAAGTCCTCTGGGGATAAACCTCTGAAGCCCACTTCTGTAAGATTAATGTCAGCCACCCAGATAACTTTTTCAGTGGTTGCCCCTAAGCTGCGAAATTGTCTGCCAAGAAAGATGCCTCTGATTTCCCAAATTCTTACCTTTAAGAGGGACTTAAAGGCATATCTCTTCCGACAGGCCTTTGCAGATTAGCTCCCATGTCAGTTTTATTTAATATGTTGCCTTAGCCAGCTTTAATCACTATTGCTCTTAATTTCTTGCAAACCACCCAGAGCCAATGGGAATGGGGTGGTATATAAATATTTGGATGGACGGGCGGATGAATGGACGGACGGACAGACATGGCCAGCCATGTTTCAAGAATGCATAGTCCTGTACCAGTGTGGGCAGTGGTTAGGGTGTTGTGCTGGCCAGGTTCTAGTCACCACTCAGGCATGAAGTGCCCTGGGTGCCAGTCAGCTGAACCCCACTCACAGCATCGATGTTGTGAGAATAAAACAGGGTGAAGGAGGACTAGCCAAGCTGGTCTGGCTTCTCGCAAGAAGGAAGAAAGGTGCGGCGTGAATGCAATACAGCAATGACAACAGCAACAACCCACAGCCACTTTGACCTCGAGAAAGCCCCGACTGCCATGTTCGACCCCCACCCCCCTCCATGGGCTGACTGCTGGGTTAACAGGAGCTTATGGCATTTCCAAAAGTAAGGGAAGGTGCAGCCCATAGGCCTGCCGTGGCTTAAAGACAGCCGGGAGGCACCTGATGCTGCAGAATCGGCCGGAGGGCTCCCCCGAGCAGCAGGGCGGACGCAGCCTTTCCGCAGAAGAAGGACGGCGAGGCCTTGCTATGCAAGGACCACATGCAGGGAGCTTCCGCCGCAGAGCGTAGGGGGCTTTCCGGTTCCCTTACCTGGCAAGCTTCTCACCTTCCTAAGGGGGGAGCAGGATCCACCAGGTGTGTTGCCTGCCCCACATCCCCCCCAGTGAGTGAACACTCAGGGCAAGCAACCCGAACCCACAACTGAGGTGCAGAACGGAAGATGCCTCCTCCCCATGGGATCCTTCAGCACACGGCAGGCGGCCCCTGGCCTGGCCACGCTCCGTGGTGCTCAATACCTGCGGGCCTCTCCTCCCATGCAGCAGCCGGCAAAGAGCTAGCTGCAGTTTGCTTTGCGTTCCTCTCCTCCCAAGAATGCTGTCTCGGCAGACAGGGCTCGTGTGAGCTGGGGTGGAGGGGGCTTTCGGTGGCTACTGGCTTTTGAGCAGAGAGAGCCGCGTTCCACCCCCCAGGCATGACTTTTAGGGCAGCCCCAGAGCCCTCCAGGGGCTCAGTCCATGGCCTTGCCTTGCCCTTCGGCAAAGTTTAATCCTTGCTGGAACACCTTGACGAACTCGGCCGCCGCCGGGCTGTTAACGGTGGGAGGCAAACGCTCCAGTTGGATGGGAAGGTGTGAATGAAAAATTGAGGCCCATAAAACTCCTTGTCCTCCACCCACATCTGCAGCGGCGTCCAGGCAATCAGGGGAGTTTTCGGAGGTAGGCAGCCCACGGGAGGGTGACGGGAGAAGAGCCAGGGAAGTATTAGGGCCGTGAGCCACTATTCATTTTACAAACTATAATTAATTTGATGTTTAGATTAATTTCTGATGCACTCTCAAAGGTGCACGGAAAGCATTTTTCCTTTATTATAATGTTGATTGCTTATTGGGGAGATAAATCTAACTGTCAGTTATCCGCCGACTTACCAAAACTTTCAGTCCTAGCAAGCATGTCTGCAGAAAGAACAGCTGTTTGTGGCTGGAAAGTTAAAGAGGCAGCTCTGCCTTTCCCAGCCAGCCTCAGCAGTCAGACTCTAGACATGAGCTGCAGCAGCCCTGCTTTTGTTCCGCTCTCTCTGGCACTGCGAAGCTTACCTGGGGTGGAATAAATGAAAAACGCATTACATCCGAATGCCACAATAGACAATAGGTCTGAGAGCGACATGGCCAAATCCGGGGCTGCAACTCAACGTGCACTGAGAAAGCATGTGCCATCCTTTTTCAGGTCTCCATTGGGGCCCAAGGAGCACGCTCTGGGAAGGGAATACAATGAGCATTTGAGAGTTTTGCA